ATTATATTAGTATCTTTTTTTTTGAAAAATAATCAAATGTAAAAATGTATCAATATTTTTTTATATTTTTTTAAAAATATATTAAACAAAATTAATAATTGTTTAGTTTCCTTTTTTAGACAGGTCAGGTCAAATCAGGTCAGATCAGGTCAAATGTATATTTAATTCAGGTCAATTTTATGTCTAACCCGACCTGACCCGATCTATTCAGAGCTCTATATAGAAGATTGGAAAAGGGAGGTGTGGTCAGATGAAAGTAAATTTATGATTTTTGATTCAGATGGTAGGGGAATGGTGTTGGAAGAATCCAAATTTACTTTTGCAACCATAACATATTAAACCAACTGTTAAGTTTGGTAAGGTTCTTTGATGATATGGATGCATTTGATGTGGGATTATACTATAAAATTGATGGAAGAATAAATAGAGACTTATATCGAGACATTTTGAAAGATGAGTTCCTTAGATCTCTTAGCGAACTGTAAATGATATCATTTTCCAACAGGATAATGATCCAAAGTATACAGCTAACATGACAATTGAATGGTTTGATGACAATCATGTTGAGGTTTTGGATTAACCAGCACAATTGCCAGACTTGAACATTTGTGGAATGAAGTTGATCATCATTTGCGACAGCTTCCTGATAATATTACCAGTGCAGAAGATTTGTGGAATAAGATTCAACTAGTATGGAATCAGATTGATGTTGATGTTTGTTTAAAATTAATTAACACAATGCCACAACGGGTTAAAGATGTTCTCATAAGGCTGGTGGAAGTTAGTTAGAAATTTTATTGAAAAATATGTAATCATATTGCATCGCAAAGTTTTGGTGATTCAAGATTTTTTTTTTTGAAAAGTCAATAATATGCAAATTAAATTTAAATAAAGAAAGTCTGAGGTTTAATAATAAATAAAATTTTTTTTATTGTATGATAAATAGATTTAACGATATTACAATTTAAAAATTTTAAACGAAGTGGTGCAATAATTATGGAAGTCACTGTATATAGAAAAACAAACATGATCCATCAAGTCCAAATTAGTGACTAATTATCATGTAAAACAAGTTTCCTGCATATGAAACAATAACTTAAGAAACACAACAGATTATCAAAGATTGCAAAATCGTCTTGGAGTAGGGAATGGAGACAAGATTATTTTATATGTTACACCGGTGACTGTTTGTGACAAGAAATCTTTAAATAAATTCTGTAGACATCAGATGATATGTTTCGCCTCCGATCTCAAAATTGAAATTCACATAATTTTGAAAACCGCAGTAATTGTATTGAAATTTTAATCATGATTAGCAACTGAGTTTGATTATTCTTTTTTTTCAGAGTTTACTTGTAGATCGTTTAATAGATCTATCATTTGAAGTTTTCGATCGTTTTAAAATGAGTTATGCAGGTCTACTTTTTGGAAATTTGGACGAAGAGGGACAACTCGAGGGTGCTGGTTTCGATGAAGTACTATTTTATGCAATTTGCAATCAACGAATTTTGAATAGAATTTGGTGATTTTAGCAAACACTTACCGTTTTTATAATATTTGTCTAGGAAATTCGAGAAAGTTTGCAAAAAGTCGCAGGAGAAACTGATGTTTTGAACGAAATTTTTTCAGTTCGTTCATTGGGTATTGATGATAAAGAGGAGGATGATGCAATAAAAAGTGAAATATCAACCCAAACTCCGGTACAAACCCCTGGTGACTCAAGCATTAAACCTGAGGAGGATGCAATCGATTATTCAGATTTCAATGAACTAGCTGATGAAACCATGTTTTCAGAAAAATATTATCAACAAGGGGTTAATAGTGTTATAAACATCAAAAGATCATTATCTTTTCCGCCATTACAACTACACAGTTTAGAGTCAACTGGAAAAGAAAACATGAAGCAAGATACGTTACAAACTAACGATATTCATAAAAACTTTTCAGCTACTGCTCCTTTAAACGAATCTCAAAAAGTTGTAAAGCAAAGCGATGAAACAAAATCAGAAATAAATATAAAGACGTTATATCCGGCTTTCGAAAAAGATAGAATCTTGAAGTTTTCAGAATTATTTGCAACTAAGCTCACCCAGCGTAAATTACATCAATTGAATATACATGGTATGTATTGCTTTGTTTATATTATTATGCAAGTATACATTAAATTTATTAAATTTGAATGATTAGCCAAACCACAAGAAGAGTTAAAATTTGCAAAAGATGAACGAGAACTATTTGAATCATCAAAACAATTCGATGTGTCAGCTGATGAGAAATTTGAGGAATCAGAAGATATTATTGAGCCAGTTGCTTCTTCACCAATAACCCAAGTTTCTGGTGGTAGCATGTATGGAAGTGACTTTGAAGCGGAAGTTCATCATGTAATGGTTATAACAATAAATCAATATGATTAACCTTATATCAATTACAAGATTAAATTATTGTTATTCCGGCATGTAATAAATTTTCTAGGATAAACCCTTTGAAACAGAAAAGTTATCTTGGAAAATCCCAGAAAAAAATAATGCATATTATTCTATTGTTATGGACACTTGGGAGGATAAGATTTTGTGGGATAGTGATGATGAGGACCAGGCGAGGTATGGACATCTTTTTATATACAACTTCTTAACATGACATTAAAAATGAATACTTTTATTCACAAAATGATACAAATTTTTTAGCCTTGACATAGATTATATATCAGAGTCAGAGGTATTTATTATCCCATATCGAAATTCATAAAGCTGAAGTGTTTTATATTCAAAACTTTTTAATCATTAATTAGGAATCTAATGCTATAATGGCTTATCGAAATACTGAATTGGAAAGTGGGGAATGGATTAATCATATTTTATGGGACGATTATAGTGGACCTATCCCTTTTGCTAAATTAACATTGGACATGAATGATCCGAATTTGCTTTTTGATTATTCTGCCCTCGATCCACCAAAACCAATGGTTTCAGATTTTTCAGGTTTGATGTCATACATTCAAAGTTTTAATCCCTTAAATAGATAAGTATTAGCCAGCTCATGTTTTTGTTTATATATAAAGGCAGAAAGATAATTAAATATAATCCACCCAAGGTTTTTTTTTTTTTCCTTTTTTATTTGTTGGACAAGTTATCATAAGTCTTTGGTACTTTTAGTTAATTCTTACATTATTATATGTAGAAGCCTTTCGGATTACCCTATAAACCTGAAAGACGAGTATATCAAAGACGACTTAACTTTGGGCGAATGTACATTCAACATTCCTTACCTGCCCTTCAATTACATTCACAATATGTATGTTTAGTTTGAGGAAATTATATGTTAAATTATATTTTTTAGTCACTTAATATTATATATATTAAAGTTCAAAACAAAGTTCACTAAATCGGATATTCGAGCATTACATCGTCCATCTATTCAATTTCCTCTTGAACAAGAAATTAATTTTAATAAAATGAAGAAAATCAAAAAGAAAAAATTGAGAAGTCGGGAGGCTATGAAAAAACCAAAAGATTTGACGCTCAAAGATAAATCAGATTACGTTTTATTTGAATATTCGGTATGCCATTCTATATTCTCTAATTTATGTTTTGTCTTGATTATATAATTATTTTTGATTTAAGAATTTATTAACATTTTTATATACTGTTCATTAGGAAGAATATCCACCGATATTATCGAACATCGGAATGGGTACTTTATTACTTAATTTTTATAGGAAAAAAGATCCAAATGATTCATTTTTGCCTAAGGTTATTAATTATTATTATTATTTTGAAAAATTGTTCTCAGTAATTAACAATATTTCATTTATAGCTTGATATAGGTGGTCCAGTTGTACTTGATGTGATTGATGAGTCACCGTTCATGAATTTTGGTAACGTGGAACGAGGACAAATCATATCAGCATTATATAATAATTTAATTAGAGCGCCGTTATATAGGCACGATGTCAATGATACAGATTTTTTAATAATCAGGTTAATATTTTGTTTTGCAGTTGTATTTCAATATTATTCTTGCAATTAATAATTTAATTTAATTATTTTTTTTAAAAAAAAAGAAACACGAATAAGGGAAAATCAAAATATTTTATACGTGAGTTAAAGAACCTTTTTGTAGTTGGTCAAACATTTCCTATGCAAGAGGTTCCTTCACCACCATCTAGAAAAGCGAAAACCATAGCAAATACTCGTATTCAGGTTGCTGCCTTTCGATACATGAAAAAGAATAGATATAATCTTTTAGTTCAGGATAAACTTACTAAGAAATTTCCGGATTATTCGCTTCAGACACTTCGTGGACGTTTGAAGGTAAACCCAAAAGTATATGTTAATAAAACGGGTTGTTTTTAATTATATTATAATATTAATGAGCCATAAATTAGGAATTTGCCGAAATGGCTCGTAAGAAAGGGAATTTCAATAATAGTCCCATTTGGAAATTGAAACCTTCAGTTCGTCTTCCTACCGAAGATGAACTCAGAAGAATGTTGACGCCAGAGATGGTTTGTAATCACAGACATTTACTTTACACTTTTTTTATAATCTCTGATTAAGTTATTTTAAAAGATTTGTCTAGAAGAAAGTATGATGGTGGGAGAAAGACATCTACAAGATGCCGGTTATAAATCAATGTGGACTGAAGAAGACGACAAAAACAAAGCGGCTAAGAAAGATGATGATGATATTGTGCAAGATGACAATAAGTTAGCTATTGAGGAATCTAAACTTGCTATTGAACAACAATTAGCCCCATGGATAACCACGAGAAATTTTCTTAACGCTACCCAGGTATTTACTATTTCTTATGCAGATTATCTTTCATTTATCATTGTTCAAATTTTTTTTTCTCGGCATAATTTATAGACAAATGCCATGTTAAAATTACATGGCGAAGGTGATCCTACAGGACGAGGCGAAGGTTTTAGTTTTATTCGAATATCAATGAAAGACATATTTCTTAAAGCAGGCGAATCTGCCCAAGATAAGCTTGGTATGAACAATATTTAATCAATGAATTCAGTATAATTGAAGGTTATTTATAAACTTACCTCCTTATTCAATATACAGCTGAAATAGAGAGTAAGCCTAAAAGTGGACACAAATATAATGTAGTTGAACAATGGAAAAGATACAATCAAGAGGTATTTCCTTTTAAAGAAAAGAAAAGGATCTCACATGAATATTTATGGTTTATTACGCGGTATAACTTATATTTTCATTAAACAGATTTATCGTATTTGGAATGCTCAATATGCATCTCTTAGTAAACATCGAGATTCTAATATGGATTCTGTAAAACAAGAAGTTACCCTTGATGATGCAGGAACTTATTCAAATAATCAATTCATGAAAGAAGATGATAATCAGGTAAATTAATAGTAAATAATAAGAATATTTTCGTCAGAAATTCTCTCATACACTTTGAACTTTGAAATTGCATTAGATCGATAGTGATGTTGAATATCAGAACATGATTGATTCCGCAATGCCTGATCGGGACGAATCTATTTCTCCACTACCTAACACTCCTGCAGAATACGATGATGTGACGTCCATTGACGGAAGTATCAGCTCCAGAGCGAATTATGATTTTGGATCCCATCGTAATAGAGCGCTTGTTATAAACAGACTTGTAAGTATATGCTGAAAGATAATAGATCATAGTATTTTGTTTGACTAGCTTGCTTATGTATGTAGGTGAGATCATCGACAGGAGAAGCAATATGGACAAAGACGCATGTTACAGATCCGGCTGTGATCAATGCATATATTAATCAAAGACAAATTATCGAAGAGCAGACTACAGCGTATGATATATTTATTCGCTGATAATAGTTTTCTAAAATATGTGCAATCTTCTTATAATATACATAATCTATGTATCTATAGCGCCGAGTTATTAGAACCTACGAATGATGAAGAAAGAAATAAAAGGTTGAGAAAAAGGTATAGATATAAAATCTCTTTAATTATTAATATTGTATTTTACGTACAATAAATTATCTTTTTCAATTATGATATTTAGGATTCAAGATCAATTGGCTAAACTACGGAGAAATCAAGAAAGGCGTCAGCAGCGTAAAGCTGCTCGCGAAGCCGCAAAAGTAGCGGCAGCAGACTCTACGTATGGACATCCAATTAAAGATAAGAAAACGGACACAATTGTAATAAACATTATTTTCTATTTTCATTTTATTAAATGGTTTAATTAATAAATTCATTCATTCGTTCATTTTAATAGAGACGTTGTGGTAATTGCGGTCAAACTGGTCATATGAAAACAAATAAAAAGTGTCCCCGTTACGGAATGAACGCAATTGGAGAAAGTCCTATGAGCCCTTTAGCAGATCCGTCTGAATCTACCGCTCCTACTTCTGATGCTCCTATTATTAAAATGGAAGGGAGCAAAATTTTAATAAGGTCAAAAGCAATTGCAGAAAAGTAAGAATTATGTTGTGAAAATCCACGTATTTATATAACTTTTTTTTTCAATAATGGGTGCCGCAATCTAATCACCTTACATATTTTATCTAATTTTCGTATGAAATAGACCTCCCGAAACAACCAGAATAAAAATTACGTTACCTTCAAGTATATTTTATTTTATATAACATAGTGATATAAATTTTTATGATTTTTATATTTATAACAATTATTACAATTTTATCTTTATTACTTAAAAAAAGATGAAGAAGCTTCAAAACGTAAAAGAAAAGCACCGGATTTAGATTCGTCTGCTGACCGCAAACGACCATTTATCGACGCAACCAGTTTAATTAGTAATATAATCAAAACACTTTGGGATACGGAAAATGTAATTCATTTATTAATTCTATTGATTCTTTTATTCTAAATATTTTTTTATTATATATTCAAATATTTCTATACTTATAAAATATATAGGCACATCATTTTCATTACCCAGTAACTGCTGAAATTGCACCTGATTATAATACAGTTATAAAAAAACCGATCGCTTTATTACAAATGCAAAATGTTGGTAATTTTTATTTATTTATTTATTTTTATAGATAGATTTTCATTCTTTTTCTTTTTGATTTTTTTATTCTAGAAACATTCTCGTGGTGAATATAAAAATATTGCGGAACTTATGCAAGATATGAAACTAATGGTTAATAACTGTCGAACCTATAATGGTGATTCTAGCGGTTATACTGTAATTGCTAAAAACTTATTTGCTAAGGCAGAAGAATTAATTAGAGAAGCAGGATTTTAATAGGATTGTTTATATTTCTTTTTCTTTTTATGTAATATTTCTCATAAGGACATTAAAAATATCAAAGCATCCGGAAATATTAATGTCGCACGAAAAACATTTAATGGAAGTTTCTTGAACAATTTAGAAAATTTTTATATGCAACTAATAGATTAAAGATTAGATCGATGCGTCACTTCAAATACAAAAATGTTCAAAATGATCGACTGATTTTTCCGAATTTGAACATTCATTAATTTGATGAACCCAAATAAATGTTCATATATATTCAATCCAAAGAATTTTTTTTTTTTTTTTTGAAATCGTTTAATATGCTGCCATCATTACCGGTTGAATGTCTTGAAGAAATAATAAAAAACCTTAAAAATGATTATATATCATTACATTCTTGTATTCTTGTAAATTATTTGTGGAGTTCTGTTTCTGTTCGTTATCTTTGGAAATTCCCTTTTGGATTTTTTAAGGAACCAAAAAGATCAATAATTCAAACATATCTATCTTGTCTTCCTGAAAGTTCCAAATTAACATTGCTCAAAAATGGTATTGAATTACCTTCGACTACATCACATGTGCCCGCGTATAATTACCCATCATTTATACAAAAAATATGTATTAAATCATTATTTTTTACGACGGAAGCTTTATTTGAAAAATGTGAACCATTATCAATTCTCTTAATTATAAGAGAACTTTGTAAAGTTTTTATCTCAAATTCGTTAAAAGTGGAACAACTTGAACTTACATTTTATCATTCTAGTTTAAAAAATATACCAATAGATTATCCGGTTTATGATTGGTATTTGTTATTACCAAAATTTCCGGGAGCGAAAAGTTGCTTATCAAATTTAAAAGAATTAATTTTGGATCAAAATTTTGATCAAAGAGGATTCCTATCCGCATTATCAGAAATAAGTCATAAAATAGAAAATTTAGATGTTTATTATGGTAATAATAATCATGATTTAGCCTTGGAAAAATTAATTAGAAATCAAAGAAATCTTAAAGTATTTTCAACATTCTTATATGAAGGAAATTGGTCAATTGTTCCGTCACTTTGGCAACATAAAAGTAGTTTAAAAGAAATAATTTTTCATCGGGTTAACTTTAATGATTGTACATCTTTAACTGGTTTGGCGATGTGCGTTAATTTAGAACGATTGATTTTTAAAGAATCATTTTACCTTCGAAAGGAATTATTGGATGAATTTGCTTTAGAATGTAATTTACCGAAACTTAAAGAATTTAGATATGAGAGTGTATTTTGGGAGATGGATGATGTCACGTATGATATCTCATCAATGTTGAAACGAACAAATGAGAGTTTAAAGTTTTTAACTTTTAATGATTCATTTAGAAACGTTCGATCACCACTTTGGGAATCTTCAACTCCTTACATTAATTTACAAAGTGTTGAAGCGATTACTCATTGTTGTCAAAATTTGGTTTCAATTGATGCAACTATTACGAACGTAATAGCATCAACTTTCTTAATGACACTTTCATCATGTAAAAGACTTCAAGAACTCATTCTTTACTTGAATAATGATGTAGAATTAGAGGATTATTTACCCGCAATTGGAAGGAATCTATCCAAAAGTTTAAGAATATTAGAAGTTTCGACGATAAATGATTTTTCGATCCAATCTTTAAATGATTTATTATTTAGTTGTAATCCAAGATTATCAACGATTAGATTCTTGTATTCCAAATGTTTTAACGATCAATATTTGGATGTGATCGTGAATTATGCAATTGAAATGGGTGGGTCCTTATTAGATGAATTAAAGTTATATTCAAAATCAAAAGTTTCTGATGAAGCTTTAAAGAAGGCAAGAGAATATATAAAACTTGTAGAATTTATTGAATTTTGTAGCTTAGTAAATCCTATATAACCATCGTCAACTTCACTATCAACAAGAAGGTAGTCTTAAGACAGTAAAACAGGCAGCAAAAAAGGGTATATAATGAATTTACGAAGTTCGAACAAGAGATATTTTACGAGCGAATGAAATAAAATAAATAAAATCAACGAGAATTATAGTAATTGTAAGACGCGTCCTTATGAGCCGTAGTTACACTTGTGCTACGGACTTAACAACGGTTTTCGATACCCATACAATAAACATTAATAAAAAATAGTCCGAAGAGATTATTACAAAAATTATTTTTGTTGCACAGTGTGTTATCGAGATATTTTTATCTGTAATAGGAACCCACGCAAGGTCATTTGACCACAATGATCCTTTCTAAATATTGAAAACTGCGCATCGAAAGAATCGATAGTTGTCTGCATTAGCATTGTTATATTATCTTTTGGGCGTCATTATTTACTTATTAAATATGCCACAATCATCAGAAAAAAGATAAAATATTTTATGCGCAATCTAGATAAAGAACAATAGGAATTTTTTTTTGATATTATTGATTCGGGAAAAAAACTCCTGAAGTCTTCATGAAACTTTAAAACGCGTATATTCCAAAAGTCATTACTTTCTAAGACGATCGTTTATTCCCTGCATATTGATTGCCACAATAATCTTACCATTTATGAATATGCCCAAGAACAATGTTAACGTTCGCAATGATTTATTCGTTATTATTTTTTTTTTTTGTTTTTTTGTAATGGTTAACATATTCGTGATGATATGAAAAAAAGCATCATGTGATAAATTACATGCCTGCATAATATAACTTGTCAAACATGACAACTTTTGACAGATATAGTCACTTATGCTTGATTATGTTCTCCACTATTTTGTATAACAAACATCTGAGCGCATCAAAATGATGTGATAATAAACGCATCGTTACTTAACTTGAGGCGAATTGTCCAATTCATAAAGCACTCGCAATAAGGAAGATGCCTTTCCAAAAGTCAATAATGTGCCCATCTGTATATGTTACAAAACATTAAAGTCATTTGATGTTATCTTGCTTCAATGAATGTATATATTTGGATTTTTTTTTTGAAATTTGCTGATAGATTAAGCAGATAATGAATATCGCTTACGCAATGAATGAACCAATAGTGTGACCTTTAATCTGGCAAAAATTAATTGAGGATACTCTTTGGCATAAAAGTTCCATTAAATATTCAAGATCTTATCCATTCATTCCCTGTATATTAATAACGAAGTTATAAATTTATGGGAAAATCATGCTCTACAAAGCTTATAAATTGTTAAATTTGCATTTTTTTTATATTTTCATATCTCGCTAAACTTTAAACTAGATCGAATGGGTCATAGCTTTAAGATTTTGATCAAATTTGTCCCAAATGCTAATAAATTTTTTTTTATATATAACGAATTATTGTCATTACCAAAGTTGTATGTATGTACAGTAATTCCATAATTATAGATTTTGTATTTTCGATTTATATAAATAAATTTTTCTTAACTTTTTTTTTTTGATCAGATTATCATGCATTTAACAACATTTGACATGTTAATAAGAACAAATAAATAAGGGATTTATTTATTATAATTATTTTTTTTTTTTAAAAAGAAAAAAAAAACTATACGAGATGAGCTGAAACAATAAAAAAAAAAAAATAATAATGATTCGAAACATACATATAGTACATATTTTGATCTTAAAGTTATAATTTAATTATAATTTACAATTTTTTTTGTAATAAATAAAGTGTGGAAAATTTTGAAGGAGATGATAAGTATACAATTAATTGATTTTATCAATTCGTAGTTTTACTTTTAATTATATTCAGATTTATGCGAAAAAGATCTATGTTAAAACGTGAAGAAATTGTAACAAAGTACGTGCTTGTATTTAATAAAAGAGCAATACATTCAGGTACTTTCCGAAGTGTTTATTGGGTTATGCAAGAAAAAAAAACGAAATTCATTTGTAAAAGAAAATGAATTTTTGCACGACATTGCACATGTAAACGATAAAATGTAACATATTTTTTTTTTTTAAAAAAAAAAATACGTCTCTAAAAAAAGTTGTTTGATCGATTTCTCTAAATTCTATTTTCTAAATAATGGGATTAAAATTAGTATGATTTCACGAGATAAATAAATGCGCAGCGCATGAATGAAGCAGTTACTTACAAACTTGAAAAAAAAGTTTTATCAGGTAAAGGAAAAAAGTCATAAACGCGTTAAAAAAATAACATCCGAGGAATCATTGAATTTCGAAAGTGCTCGTCTATGTATAAAAGATACAATTTTTTTCCCCCTTTTCGGTTAAGAAAAAAATTTGCTTTCATAATTCAACACATTTTTTTTCTTTTTTTTTTTAAATATCAAACTTAAAAAAAATCCGTGTTAAATGGTGAGCAACTTGCGTTAAAAGAACCTCTATAATTATTGTATCAAAGAGTTCGTGAATGTTTATAATTTCATGTTCGGAAAAAAAGTAACAATGAGGATTTTAATCCTGAGAAATCTTTCCATGGAGGCCATTCTCACAAATATTTATATTTAAATCTGAATCTATTTTTTTTTTATTTGTGGGAATATTCCTTCCAAGAGAAGCTTTTCCCGTAATACGATTTGGATCACAAGATGAAGCGAATATAATTTAAGACAAGTACGTTAAAATTACGATTCCATATCTGTTGGTTTGGATAATGTTTGCAAAGAAAACCAATTGTTAGATGGGTTTAAAGTTTATGTGGGGAACTGCAACCTAACAAGTGTGCATTCTTCAACCCCACAAACATTAACCCCACATCAAAAAAAAGTCACCCCGTCAAAAATTTGTGCACCTTACTGGAAAGGGAAGAAGGCTTTGACCATCTATTTACAAAGATATCAAATACGTCATTAGAACTTCTGGATCCAGCTAAAGTCAATCTAGGCAAATATGATATGGGCGTTCATGGAGATTCATCTTGTATGATAGTTTCTCGCGAGATGCGGATTTCGTTATAAACATTACATAATTGATTTGACTCATGGAAAAAAAAAAAAAAAAAAACTCAAATCCTCTAAAATTTTCTGATAAAGTTTAGGCGTAATTATTATTTGCATTAAAAATTAATTTATTTATTTATAACGAATTATTTGTCCGGTCGAATGCCGAATAATGAATGAAATTCCACACATTGTTCTATTCTCCCAATAAAAGCCGATCTTATAATTTATTTGATTTCGACCAAAACTTTCATCAATTTTAAAAGATTCCAATTTTACTAGCGATTGCCAATTTGGGTCATAAATAATTTTGACAGTTCCTCCTTCATAAATTGTGATCAGTATTACAATGTATGATCGTCCGTAAACCGAACTAACCGTTTCAATTTTCTTGTGACGTGTACGAATCAAATTTTTCTATCGAACCTGCACATTTATTTATTTTCACGACAGCTCGGCTTTTGATCATTTGATATATTTGATATCAAATTTTAAATTTGTGATAAATTTGTAATGACTTATCACATATTTTTAAGGGTGAATGGATGATTTTGACTAACTTCTTTTGTGTAAATTAGAGATTGGAAAGAATTCCTTTGAAGAAAGATGTGGCATTAGATTTTTAATTTATTTTTTTATTTAATTTATTTTTTTTACATTATCTTTTGGTTTCACGAGTAATGTATTGTGCAAATTTCCTTTCATTATCATAAAATGCATTAATAATGTAATAAATTATGAAAGATTTATTTTATTAAAAGAATACTTTTTATTTAACATTAATATGTTGCAACGTTATGATAGATCATTTTTATTTGAATGTATTTTTAATTTTTTCAAAAAAAAAAAAAAAAAAAATGTAAAAGCACGTTTCTTGGAGATTCTAGAGAATTTGAAACCCATGACATGTTTCTAGCATACAATTATAACGTATTAGGCTGTCAACAAAACACGGGCCAATCCTGCAATAAACACCCACACATCCTGCATGAAATACCGTCTCGTCTTACAATTTCAATATAAACAAACAAATATATTTTAAAAATTAAAAGATTTGTTTATTTTTAAAATCACATACCATATATCCATTGAGTTATGAAAAATTGCTTATAAATTGACGATGTTTTGCTCGCTTTTTTTGCTCTTTAGATTCTTTATAGAATCTCAAAAATCCAAAGAAAAAAAAAATAATTATCATGAATAAATTGACGTTATGATGATTCATTCGCAAATATTCGAATTTTAAATGACATCAATTTCATAACTCGTTAAAAATGATTTCCTCTGGATAGGAATTCAAATCGCTTCTTTCGTCATTAATTTCGAAAAAAAAAAAATCATGCGCGCATATATATTTTCTTATTTCTGATTCTCGTTATTCCGTGAAGTATTTATTTTTATTCGTTTTTTATATTGGTTCTGTTACCATTAAGCCATTCTTATCGTTAACGTTCAAATTAATGATCGGTTTCTAATGTTCTTACGTGTTCGGTTCTTTTTTATTCTTTTGCATCTTAAAGCTTTTTAAAAGATAACTTTTTTCCGGAATTTATTTATTTCTTTTGAATCTTTTTTTATCTTGTTTATTATTGTTAAACATCTTTTTATTTTCTTTTTTACTTTATTTTTTATTTATAGAAACCCAGGGTTTTTCTATTTTTTTATTTATTGAATTTTTATTTTTCTTACAATATTTTTATTTCTTTTTTTTATTTCTTTTTCTTTTTCTTTTTTTTTAAAAATGACACAATAAAAAATGAATTTAAACATGTGATAATAGATTGATTGTTATGTAATTTTTTTTTCCTTTCATTTTAAAATAATAAAATAAATTTAAAAAAAAAAAATGTGTCAAGATGCTCACATCTTACGAGAAACGGTTTAATTGATAAACTTAATCATTGTTTTTGATGATAAACTTCTGATAAGAATCATTTTTTTTTACATGATTTTGGAAACGACAAACTTTTTATATTATGAACAATAGTATGTTGACATGTCACAAAGATTGTTGCGCAACTTTAATTTTTCAACCGTCTCAATTAATCAAGTAATCAGGAAAAAAACTTCTTGATTGCTTGATTATCTTTCGAATATTTAAACGATAAAAATTTTCTTTTCTCTTTTTTTTCCCGCATAGAATTCGAATTTAATGACCTAATAATAAATGCTTCAATAACATTTATTTAGAATCATAATGCCTCCTAATGTTAAATAATTTCATTTTATAACATCTTCACTATAAAATAAAAAAAAAATAAAAAAAAAATGTTAAAATATTAAACCAAAAAAAAAAAAAGATAAAAATAAAAAAATTATAAAAATAAAATCATCATGATTTTTTTTTTATGTCAAAAAAAAAATATTTCACTAAATTAACCTCAACCCATTAATCTTCTTTCCACAAAATTTCCGCTCACAACTTTTCATCAATCACCGCAAAAAAACAAATTTCGCTAACAACAAAACGCGCTTCTTCAACTTACCAAAGTTCTTACCATCGTATTTTGTCCCTTTTGAAAAATCTCTTGCTTTATTTAATTCAACCGATTCGCCTTTTTTGTATTAATTGTATTAATACGTCTTTATCATGTTTCAATATAGATACTTTATAAATTATTAGTTATTTGAAATTTCTAAATACTTTTACTATTCCTTTGATTTGTTTTACATTTTATTTTCGATCGTATCCCTTTTTTTAATCGATTTGATTATTTCTTTTTTAATATCAAATAAAGTTTCAATATGATTTTATTTATTGAATTAATGGTAATCGACTTTATCATTTATTTTTCGCGATGGTTAAAGTCCATCGACGTGATATTCGTTAAGACACGTGATAATTGCGAAATCGCGACATTTTGCATTCTTTGAAGAAACGAAAGAATCTCAATAACGCGTTTCGTAATAATATTTTTTTTCATGCATGATTTAAAATAAAAAAGAATTTTGAACTTATTGACATATCATATTCTTTTACAGTTCGCTTTGATTTTATTCTTAAATCCCTTATTTCTGAGGAAATTATCACCGTGTTAAATCTCTAAGCCATTTTTTTTTATTTATTTTTCGCAGAATTGTCTATACAATATTCTCTTAATCATTCAATAAAATAAGTCCTACGTTTACGTTTTTGGACAAAAAAAAATCTAATCTTAGTATAAAGATTATTTGGTTACACCAATGGATTCCTTTAAGTTAATTTCACGGAGTTGTTTTTCACTTTTCTCCATTTGAAAAACAGTATTCAGGGGTGAAACCATTGATTTTTAGTAGTAATAATAAAAAAAAAAAAAACGCGTCTTTAAATATAGAATTATGCGATAATGTCATAGTAATAATAATAATAAAAAAAAAAATGGGCTGAAACACACTTGTGCATCAAAAAAATCTTTTGCAAAGTTTCCCGAATTTCAACTACGAGTTAGAGTTGAGACAATCTTTTTATAGTAAGCGACACAAACGAAATATCCAATCGGTAACGTTAAGCATATTATCAATACCGATATGGAACTCGTAAATTGGTTTCCACATCGGGTAAGATCTTGGGAATTTTTTTCGTTCGTTCGTTACACCTTTTTCTATTTACATAAACTTTAATTTTGCCAAATTTAAAAATCATCCATTTATCCATATAAAGATCCAATATTACACGAACACACAATTGTCTAATTTTTTGAAAAAAGATAATGATTGTTCTTGCATTTTATTTCATGAATGGCCAAACGGACAAGTTATTGAGACATCACGTGTCATGATAGTAATTTACTCACGTATTTATTGCATCTTACATATATATCATAACGTAACCAATTAAAGGAAGCTCATTTTGCGAAAAATTCTTTGATTTGATACAATGATGTAATTTATTTCGCAAAAATGAACTTTTTTTTAAGTTGTTGGTAAAATCTTCCTTCTCAAATGATTTGTTAACATGCAAAAGATGCAGAAAATTTCTTTGATGAGATCGTCACTTATCACACACAAATCCCATTTCATTCAACCATTTGTCGTACAACCTTGCCGTAAATCATTTCTAATACCAATTCCAACTCGTTCGGCTCATTCTCGTACGTTTTCAATTATTAATTTTCTAAGGACAATAGTCGGCCCACTATCTTTTCTCTCTCGTTCCCTTTCACAACCTCAAAAGGCAACGCAGGAATTGGAATCTCAAGCGTTAGCCACTTATGAAAAAATCAAATTACCAATAACACATACATTTAATAGAATTCCTGGATTTTTGGGTAGAGAGCATGAGATACGTATTTTGAATGATTTATTAAGTGGAGTTCCAAAGTTTTTGATCGTGAATGGTTCTACAAGGTTTGTGAGCGCGGAGAAAATTTCTTGATTATTTAATCAACCCTTGGATCATTATATTTTTCTTTATTTTTGTCATATCAATGTAAGTGTGGGAAAAACCTCTCTGCTGCGAGAAGTCTTATCCGACGATCGATATCATGTGACTTACATCGATTTGCGAATCCCAGGTCTCGTAATTCTTTTTTTTTTTATCATCTATAAGAAACGTGTGAATGTCTCCTTGACTTATCAAAAATATACATACAGGATTTGCGGATCTTCGTTCATTTATATCAGAATTCGCGTCGCGTTTAGAAATATTTTTTACGAGAATTGCTTCATTTTACCCCAATCTCAAGGTTTTAGAAGATGAAGCAATCGCCCTTAGAAGTTTACGATTGGGTGGACCTGAAAGTTATGAAAAGAAACAATTATTACAAAATGTGCAAGAATCAGAAAATGATGATGAGTCGGATGCTGCTTCTGTCGCGACAAGTCAGAATCGAAGTGATCTCGCCAAATTATTGGAGAAATTTCAAGCTGGGTTATTGATGTATCATGAAGTTGATCTCAATGAGAAGGAGGAAAATAAAGAGAATGTTGCAAAAGACAGATACCGGATACACGAACATGATAAGGGTAATTTCAATCTTCAACTAATAATTTATAGTTACAACTTTATTTACATATTCCTTTTATAGACACGAGAAAAAAGATTCCTATAATAGTTTTCGATGAAGCTCATAAATTGAGATCTCTTTTGAATGATATCGAAGCTCTGCAGATACTACTGGATGCCTTTGTAGTCCTCACGGTACAAGATAGCTTGTGCCACATCATTCACGTTACTTCGGACGCCTTTTACGGAAGATTATTGTCACAAAGTACGTGAAACAAAAAAAAAAAATTTTCCCATAGCATTCATTGTTCTAACAATTTCTTTTTTTTTTTTTTAAAAAAAAAAAAAAGCGAATATTCGTAAGTATCAATTATCATGGCAAATCATTTTTTTTTTTTTTGTTTTGCGCTAGCGAGCGAGACTTAGGCAAGATTTCATGTGATGATCATTTAGAGCGTCATACGAAATCTTTAACCATTGGTGATTTATCCCGATCAGAAGTCAACAAATATTTTCACAAGACTCTAGCACCGTCCGTCCCACAAGAAATACGCGAAGGAATCTTCAAAATGGAAGATGATCTTCACAAAGTTCTTGGTGGAAGAATTTTATACTGGAAATCATTTGTACAAGATTATATTCTTTCGAACGGAAGGCTAACAAGTAAAGATTCACTCAAGGTTTTTTTAATCATCTTTGCTTTTATAATTAAAAAGGGATTATTAATACATATACATATATATTTTTTTTACAAAAAAAAAGTTGAAAAATTTGAACCATTCATTCGGGCGCAACATCAACTTATTTTATTTTCAAAAGATTTACCGGTAGATGATGAAATTCCCGGTGATCCGATTAAACGCATAAGTCGATATATTATTGCCAGTCCAATGAATAAGGTTTCCTATCATCGTTTGTGTAAGGAATTCACTCCACCTGTTATAGATGCGTTAATCAACGATGGGATTTTGGAGTATAGATTGATTGATGAAATTGGCGATGGGGATGATGCATTATCGGTCGAAAAACCTTTTGTTATTCCTTCAAGTCATCTAATGAAACATGCTATGGAAATTTTACTAGGAGAGAAATCACGGATCGAAAAAAATATTTAAAATTTTATTTACGTTAAGCTTTATTATCTCGCCATAATTTTTTTTCTTTTAAACGATTGAATGTTACACATATATTGAAATGCGTATGATTTTGGTTTGATTAGACGTTATCGAAAAAAGGAATTAAATTCTAAATATTATTAATCATAATTATCTATCGTTTAATAACGTCTTTTGTGTTTTTGGACCCATAAAGTTGTGACTGTTCAAGCAATTAAAATGAAGAAATTTATTGTGAAATGAAAAAGTTCTTAAATGTTATTTATTTATTCAAAACCTAACAATCTCAACTAAATGAATTAATAAACAAGCAAACTTAAGCTTAGCATCATTAGACCAATCCAAATGGAAAATTTCATCAAATTCCTATTTATCTCGTCGTGAATCGGTTTATTTCCACATCTCTTCACAAACCATTCAAATCTTTTTCCGATACATTTCCATTCTTTTCTTTCAATGATTCCCTCCAAACGACCACATTGACTCATTAAACGAATTATTGATGATTCTGCTGCCGCTATTATAAAACGATAGCCATCAACCGTAGATACACCGCAAGGTTCTGCGAACGATAAGTATATGTCGACGATCATGATGGACACGATAATAAGTGGAATCGATAAAAACGTCCAAATTACAAAGAAATTAATGATTGCAGTGTTATTAAATACAGCGAAAATTAAGGAAACTATTATTGTGATCAAAAAGATTAAGATTGACCCCAATAATAATTCGGCGCTATTAGGCAAAATATCGTTATATGTTAAATCTGGATACATATTAACCAAGGCACCATCGCCTTTCGCCCAATAAAAGAATCTTATATAACTTCTTTTCCCATCATTCCACCAAGGATGTATCACTTTAACGTTTGGTGCTGCTTTAAATCCTATTCCATTTTCTACATGATTAATAAAAAAATTCCTCTTTTTCAAACAGAAATCAATATCCTCTCCTCCACCAGTCTTTGGAAAAATTGGATCAAAGAGTACGTTATCTTTATATCGTCTAATTAGGAGATTGGCGGTAACTCCCCATGGAATATCGTCACTCAATTTTTCGGCAATATCCCAAAAAAACGTGATACAAGATAAAACCAAAGCACTTGTAAAAATGGCATAATTCGCTGGCGGGAACTTTGAATTTCCTATGAAACCGCAAGCGGTTGGATATTTTTTTATAATTTTTTCACATTCAAATAGTATGTTTTTTTCGGGAAGCACGTCATCATCCAAAAATAAAACGTAGTCCGCGTTTGATTCTTTTAACCCTCGATTTCTTGATAAACTCGCACCCAAATTTGTTTTATGTTCTCTAATTCTTATAAAAGGATCTTTCTCATATAATTTTTTTAAAATGTTTGTATTTGGTGTATTTGGATTATCTATTATTATCACAATGCTTGTTGACATTGTTGGGGGTCTCTCCACGTTAATGATTGGATCAAGAAATTTCAGGTCAACCCTAAAACTTGGTATAACTATGTCGAGCGTTAACAATTTTGGGACGGGAGTCTTGCAATTCGCTTTCAACCATTTTTCAACTGTATCAACGGATTTATCTAACATATCAAAACTCCATTCCGGATGATGCTTTCTTTCATATCTCGGGGCTTGACTTCCGCCCACAAAATTTTGAATTTTAACATCGTGTAACATAACTGAACATCCCCATCTTCGGTATGTCTGAAACAAGTAAGGATCTCCATCTTGATTTTGAAACCTTTCCCTTGGAAACATATCTCCATTGAAAATGTCCAAATGTATTCGACCGATCACCGGAAACGTTGGAAATCCGGGAAAAGTGATGTCAGCAAAAGTTATACATCCGAAACCGCATGGAACCTTTTTTTGAATAGAAATTTCGCGATAAGCTTTATGAAATTTATTCATCCAACCATCGGTTTCGATGATCACGTCATCTCCAAATAAAACAAAATAATCGCATTTGTCGTGATAAGCTTGATGAGCCAATTCCCTCCAGATTGCGCATATAGAACCAGGTGGGAAATCAAAAGCCTTTGTATGAATGTTTGTGAATCCATATTCTCGAAAAAAATTTTCCGCAAGATTATTTTCTATCGGATGAAAGAGATTATCATTCTCATCTATTCCAATGTAAATTTTAATTTGATATTTGGTTTCATAATTCTGATCCGTAACATCAAGTCGCGAAGTCTTGAGAAGACTTTTTGCAAATTTTCTAAGGTTTTCCAAACAATCTTCAGGGTTAATTAACCCACGAGAAGTTATCGGTAAAAGCACTCCAAACGTTATAATCTCGTTGTGAAAGGTTAATACGTTCACTTGACTTTTTAGTGATGACTTTATAAATTCATGCCATCTTGGATCATTCTCATATTGCAATTTCTTTTTCACAATCTCTTGTCGAATCCATGAGGAGGTCTTGATCATGCCTTCACGGATAGAATGTTTAGGTGACCAATTTAGGTACCTCTGAATTAAGGAATTATCCGAATTCCTATTATTTACACCGACGGGTTTCTCGGTGTCAAAACATAGGTTCACGCTATCACGTGAAACGTCAATCGTTTCAAATGCGACATAGGCAAGTTCTTCAATGCTAATTGATTCTTCTGAACCAATATTTAATGTGATTTCTAAATCACACTCCATGAGCTTAATAATCGCTTCGACACAATCCTCTATATATAAGAAACTACGTCTTTGTTTCCCGTTACCCCAAATTTCAATCTCATTTTCTCGTGCATAAATACTCGAGAATATCGCTTTTCTTAATAATGCGGCCGGAGCTTTTTCCCTTCCGCCATACCATGCACCACCTTCTCCGTAAACGTTATGAAATCTTGCAATTTTGAATTGGGGAAATTTTTGAGACGAATTTTTATTTTCCAATGAATCTACTAAACTGGATAAAATTATTTCGGTATTTAATTTTTCAGCTCCATAAAGTTCTTGAGCTTTTGAATCTTTTGAAATGCAATTCCAGGTATCACTTTCTCTTAATTTTATATCATTATTAATGTTTGATTGTTTATTGTTAGAGTAAACGCAAGCGGTGGAAGCATAAAAGAACTTGTCAATATTTGACTTCATCGAAGCTTCGAGTATATTCAAAGACATTGAATGATTTTCTTTATATATTGCGAAATTATTTTTTGAATGAATAACGCCCATACCACCCATATTCGCAGCAAAATGAAATACCCATTTTACATCATTGTTATCAAATAATTTATGACAAGTTTCGAGCGAACGTATGTCACCCTCGATGAATTCCGAACAAAATTCTGCGGTATCTTTGCAAAGACGAAAGGTTGAATCGTCACACAAATCGACTACGCGTACGTAATTTCCTTTCTCGTGTAAATATTTTGCAACATGACTTCCCTAAAAGATGTTTATTTATTATAAAGTTTAAATAATATTTACATTTAAAAAAAAAATTGTACATACAATGAAGCCATTGCCTCCCGTAATTAAAATAACATTTCTCTCCGTAGTCATTTTTGTTTTCTCTTTTCAATGAGTTTTCGAATGAGCAGGCTTTTATTTTCTTTTAAATATCAAACAAAATCTTACACATTGATGACGATTGGGTACTACAATTTGATTGTTAATTTTTTTTTCCTGACGTAAAATACCGCGCGAAATAATGTCTTTGTTTACATATTTATAAATATTTTTACAGTTAGTAAGCACTTAAATCGTCAAATTTTGTATATGATCGCAATTGACCGTTGAGTGAACAATTAATTGATTTAAAACAAAAAACATACATGGAAACCAACATCACTCTATAGTCATATTTGATTTTTCACAAGATTACAAACTATACGACATTAAAAGATATTATAAATATGGCATTATTTCGCATGTTAAAATCGATTATATAAAACGAATTCTTTACTTATTTACGTATTTTATACGGTATCTCGGAAAAGCTCAATTTACCCTAACTAAATTAATCCTAATCTGTGAATTATTAGTTCCTAAAAATCACGTGATTTTAACGCCACTTTGGTACTTCAAAATATTAAGTATATAGAATCGGTTGTGTTATTGTTGGTATCATATTTCGTATTTTTGGATGAAAAATCGGGTTGGTCCTCCTTTACCAAAGTAAGTTATAAAATTAAGTAAAGAATAGTTGTATTTATTAATCTTTTTATTGATGTAAAGAAATCAAAGTTGCTTTACATATAGAGTAGGAACCAACAAAACATCTTGTGGAAACGGTTAAATTTTTAGTGGAATGGTTTATACTATCAGATGGATATGGCACCATCACAACAATTGCTACTTTATTCGAAATAGATTATCTCTCTTATGTTTTCCTGAATGTACAAAAGCCATGATTGTAATAACCACATCATTACACTCTTTTGGTTCCATTGTATGCATTATTGGGATTTATCGCACCATTCGGTTTCAAGTATTCGTGGAAGATTTGGTTAATTGCCATTACATATTTCGTTAGTTAGATTGGCGCAGTACAAAGTTGTAGAGTAGTATATGATACCTAAAGGTTATGAAAATGGATTTTTTAGTTTATTTGAAATTACGGATAAGGTATTTGGAAATTTTAATTTCGAGGATTGATGAATTTGACTTAACTCTGTTCCGTTTTGCTTTATTTAGGGTTCAAATGGTTAGGTCCCTTATTTGTGAGAATTATTGGAGATGTGCCACATAATTTAAGAAATGCTTATTGGTATGTATTGTTTTTCATGGTATTTCCCACCTTTATTATATTAACTGTAAACGTTAATAAAGGTAAAAAAGATGCCGAATTATTTGTTGAAAATGAATAGATTGGAAAGATGCGAATTCAAAAGAAATGAATAAAAAGACTGGACACAAATGCGCAATTAAAAAGATGAATCATATCCTACACGAACTGAGGAAAGAACTTATGCAATGTAAAATAAATTTTTTTTTCCAATAAATCTTGCAATCCATATACTGCGATATTGTATCCGATTCGCCTGATCAATACGATACGATTTTGCAGTTTTGCAAAATTGTTACCTTCTGATCTGAACCGTACTCGTCTTCCTTATAATCGATTTTCTTAAAGATATCATTCCAAATATTCATTCCTATAAACATTACAATCGTATTAAAAAAAATATTGGATCAGTAAACATTCAAATAGATTTCTGTCAAGAATGTTTGAAATCACTTTATAAGAAACGTATAAGTATTTGACATTTATAATAATTATCATTTTTGTCTTGCATGTTCTGCATTCACATTCAAGTTATAATTTTTGAGATTACGAAATTGGTTTAAAGAGAACTCATGTCGAAAAAGTTGAAAAATATTGTTGTTGCGTCAGATTAAATAAAGAAAATAAATAGAAATACAGATATTTACCAAAAGTTATAAATTTCCCACGTAAATCCTTGTGAAAACTTCCTAATCACTTGAATAAAATTTTAAGAAAATTGTCTCTTTTAGACTTGATCAAATTTTGATGGTTATATTATATTTCTAAAAATACATCATATATTTAGTGAAACTTATTTGAAGGTATCAGCAAATTACCTATAAAAAGAGTTAGCCTCCACGAGGTAAAAACCATATAAGCAGATATTAGAGGTAATTAATCTTTACAAATACAAAATTAAATTATCACGTGGCATTCGTGCATGTTCATACCCCAAAATTTCTTTACCCCCAAATTTTTTATCGCGTAAATATGAAGGTTCTACTTTTTTTTCTCTTCTGCAACTTCCCAACAAATCAAATATATGTACACGCAAAATAATAAAAATATCAGTCATTTTTTTGATAGTAGTATACTTCTATAACAATATTTTAATCAAAAATTTTTTACTTTACACTTACCTCCTCCCTTTATTTAGTCGGTTAGGCAGGTCGTCCGCTCTTCAATTTTCGGTTTAGGCATACAGGATTTTTGGTTTGTTTTTTGTAAGTTCCGTTTCTTTTGTAAGTTAATTTTTGTAAGTTCCTTTATTTTTGTAATTTTGCTTTTATATGGCATTTTTTACTTTACTCTCTTACCTCTCCTCCTTATTTATTTAGTCGTTTAGGCAGGTCGTCCGCTCCTCGATTTTCGGTTTAGGTTAACAGGATTTTAGGTTCGCTTTTTATTGTTTCGTTATTTTTTTTTGTTGGTTAACTTTTTCTAGTTTTTTGTAGAGCTTTTTTGTAGGTGTTTTTTTTTTGTAGGGTTTTTTGCTTTTTGTAGCTCTTTTTGTAGGGTGTAGGTTTTTCTTGGGTTCCGTTAATTTTCTGGGTCATTCGGTAAGGAACTTTCTATCTTCCCTTTTATTTAGTTTGCGTGTACAAGTTTGCGTGTACATATATTTGTTTTTAGGAAGTTCAGGTAATAAAAGAAAATAAATTATTTATTTTCGTGTTTTGTTTTGATATGTAAATTGTATATGTATTTATATTAGTAACGTTATGAAAAAAAGGATTGTATTATAATAAAAATCAAAACCAGTTAAACAAGAAAAAAAATTTTTTTTTTGTTTATATTGTGTTATCAGTTTTTTTTGAACTGTGTAATCTCTCCATCAAAGTATAAAATACATCATTTTTTTCAATATATTAGATTTTTTTTTACAAAAATAAATTACAAAAAGAAAATTAAATTTTAAGACTTTCTTAATATATTCTTGTAATCTAAGCGATAGAACAGGTTTTGGTGATATTTTATATTATCATTAAGATGGATCGTGCAGAGCGCAATATTTATTTTTAATTAGTATGCTAAAGAAATTAACTTAATGATTAGATAACATCTTTTCTTTTTTTTGGAAGACAAAAAAAAATATTTTTTATATTCATAATGCTTGTCGTACACGTGTTCTAGTTGAAATTGCTTAAGGTGCTTGTTCAATGGGAGAGTCTCAAGAATTTTCAAATTAAAAATCGACAGATAATTTCGCTCACTTTCCGCAAAAAGTAGCAAGTACCGGTCCAGAGTTATATGGATAATCTTACTCCAGCATAATCAACAATTTACTTAATATATAAAAACTGTCCCATTGAAGTTGAACCATCTCATTATAATATTATTCCCACATTATTCATTTATTAACTTGTATATGTATAATAGCACACCACCCATATGATCTGATCCGAACTTTGATTATAATAGCGGAAACTATCTCACATAATCTGCAGCTTCATTGTGAATTATAGCCCTCAGATATTAGCATAAGCATCGAAACATTATACAATATGCTCCTGTTGTCTTGTCTTAATATGTTCTTCAACCGTAATTAAATGAACTCCAATTAATCATTTCTCTAATACATTCAAAGATAGAAATGACTTTTGTTGGAATGACTTGTAAGATGTCCAGTAGTAATTTTAAAAATTTCCAAAAGATCTATAAGCATTTTTGAGAACGTAGGTCGAAGGCGATCGATAGCGTTATACAAGAGTTTGATACCTTTTGGAATAGTAAACAGTTCTCGATACCATCCATTTTTTGCAGGCTATTTCAGCAAAGTCATCACATTGTCCGTACGACATCTTACATTTACTAATTCCAAAAGAATAATTCCAAAACTGTAAACTTAATACATTCTGTATCTTAAATTGTTTCTTGTAATTTTCCATTTCCTCTCTTAGCATTCGCCTTGGGAGAATTATATCGAATACTTTCTAGAAACTTGCTATTTTCTCAATTTCGAAGCTTTTCGCCCAGTGAAACTTCCAGTTTCGCCCTATATGTTTGGAACTATCAAAAGCCTGAAACCTTTAATTTGGAAACATCAAATTGGACGAAATTAGTTTCACCCGAAACATTAATCCAAATTTATAATATTTGCAACCACGGAGTACAATCATGCAAGTAATAGTGGCTTTTTTACTTTCACCGCCGACTTTAAATTAAAAACTCGCCGCACAGTTTGAGTAGAAGTTCATGATATTACCTTATCAGAATTAAGGAATTCGATCCTTTAGCGATATCATAAGTAAATTGTATGTATAAAGGCAAAATCATCTATAACCGAATGGAAGTTGAAAGATTCCTATCCATGATAACACGTCAAATCCGAAAACGAAGAGCATATGAGGCGTTTTTTTTTTTTTTTCGTCGATTATTAAATATTTTGGACAAAGTTTTGGATTTATGAAGTAATGTTCAAAACCTGTCCAAAAGCCCTACACTGCTTTCTGCCTATCCTCAATGTCTACCTTCAACATTTGAGTTACAATTTTTTAAGAAATAGATACTTTCACATAAATCTATAAATTTTTTTATATCAAGTTAGCCCATAATAATTTCTGCGCAACATTAATTATTTCTGAAGTATTTGAACTAAATTTTGTAAATTAAAATAAGTTTCCGAAAGTAGATAAAATAATCTCTTGTTTATAAAAATACTTACCCAATGAATTTAATAAATCATTATTTTCGTTAAAAATAAATATTTCCGCAACAAATTTCTGATGATGATTAAATATAATAGTAAGGACGCAGGCGTGACGAGTAAATAAAGGGGAAACCCCTAAGTGATCGATATCAAATGGCGCCATAATCCATCTAAAAAAGTGGACGTCATTTATTGCAGCCGTGGAATTATGTTGCAAGTTTGAACAACGTTTCTTTGAAGGATATTTTACAAAAATATAATATATTTGTAATTGAAAAAAATAATAATACAAGATTCAAGTAATTTAATATTTGCAAGCTTCTTTTTAAATACAGTACATCCTCTCACATGATACTTTTCAGGATCAACTAATCACACATAATGATGTGATTCTTTCATATATCACGTGATTTACTTTACATTACGCAAAAAAGATCATTTCTAAATTAAAAAGATTAGTAATACGGATATAAATACAAATTGAGATGATTCTTTTTTTTTTTTTCGTTATAAAAAAAAAAATTTTAATATGGAACGTTGTGATGAATGTAATCAACAACTTGAAGGAAAATGGTGCAATAATTGTGATGCATATAAATTTTTAGAAGAAAGTAAAACAATTGGCTATCATAAGGAACTTCATAAATTAACTAAAAAAGAGAGATTTCAATTTAGGCGGTACGGTATATGCCCGAATTGTAAACAATTGAAGGTCGACTATGAATTATGCCATGAATGCGATAAAAGTTATAGTGAATGTAATAAATGCAGACGACCGTATGTTGCTTCCGGGGAGGAATGGTGCAATTATTGCGATACTAAAAGATTTTTGGAAGAAAGTGAAACTATCGGATATCATAAGAAATTGCATCAATTATCTAAGGAGGAGAAGATTCAGTTTAGAATATATGGAATATGTCCCGATTGTGTTCAATTAAGAATTGATTCCAGATCATGTATTAACTGTAGACGTCATAGATGTGGTGAATGCAATACTTCTAAAGACGAAACGTGGTGTGATAATTGTGATGCCAAAAGGTTTTGGGAAGAAAGTGAAACTCTCGGATATCATAAGAAATTAGATCAATTATCAAAGGATGAGAAAATTCAATTTAAGCTATATGGAATATGTACCAAATGTATACAACTAAAAATTGACCCCAGATCATGTGCCAACTGTATGTTTGGCAGATGTGATGAATGCAAGCAACCATATATTTCCGAAGAGAAATGGTGTAATGATTGTGACACTAAAAGTTTCATGGTAGAAAGTAGAGTTATTGGATATTGTAAAGAACTCAAAGATTTATCTAAAGCAGAGAAATTTCTATTTAGACAATATGGAATATGTCATGATTGTAAGCAACTAAATACTGGCTATGGATTATGTATTGACTGTTATAAAAGTTACAGTAAATGTCAAGAATGCAAACGACCATATTTTTATGAGGAATGGTGCAATTTTTGTGACAATAAAATATTCTTGGAAGAAAGTAAAATCATTGGGTGTTATAAGAATTTAAATGACTTCACCAAGGATGAGAAAGTTCATTTTAAAAAATATGGAATATGTCCCGATTGTAAGGAAATGAATACTGGAGGAGCGTGGTGTAACAAATGTGATCCCGGACGATTTTTAAATGAAGGAAAAACTAGTGGAAATCATGAGATAGATCAAATAATCTATGATGCTCAAATGAAAACAGAGCATTACTATAATAGTTTTGAGTGGATTCCTTTAGATAAACTTGAATCAATTACACCTATCGGACGAGGAGGTTTCGCTACGATTTATTCTGCAAATTGGATAGAAGGAAAACCTTATGGTTTTAGAGAAAAAAAAAGGTCTCCTCCTATTAAAGTTGCACTTAAAGAAATAAACCTTGATTCCAAGATGGCGAGTGTTGCTCTCAACAATGAGGTAAACCATCTTGAAGATGTTGTATCATTTCATATTTTTTAAATCATATTTTAATCAAATTACAATTTATTATTAGATAAATATACATAATCTCTGTCAAAATTCTCCTCTTAGTACTATCATAAGATTTTATGGAATTTCAAAGAATCCAAATACAGGAAATTTTATCATGGTATTAGAATATGCTGAAGATGGTAGCTTGAGAGAATCCCTTGATAGATCTTTCCAAGGATTAACTTGGAAGAAGAAATTAGAAATGATGAAGACTATTGTGGATAATCTTGAGACGATTCATAATTTGGACCTGATACATAGAGATTTACATCATGGAAATATACTTCAACTTTCAAGTGGTAAATTAAGTATTTGTGATTTAGGACTTTCTCAATCAATATATGAAATTGATAAATATGGGGTGTATGGTGTATTACCTTACATGGCACCTGAAATTTTACGAGGACAACGTTATACCAAAGCTTCTGATATTTATGGATTTGGAATCATAGCGTATGAAATAATTACTGGTTTACCTCCTTATCATGACATTGATCATAATTACTTGGCTTTACCTATTTGTGGTGGATTAAGACCCAAATTTAATATTAAAGTACCCCAATCTATTTCAGATTTAATTAACAAATGTTTAGATGCAAACCCATTAGAACGACCAACAGCAAATGAATTATCTAATCAATTGTTTAACCTTATAAATGATTCTTCTAATGAAGGGTCACTAATTCAAAAGCAAATTGAAGATGCAAATAAGATTAATGAACCGTCGACCATGAGTCTTTCTTATATAACGCATCCTCAAGCAATTTATACGAGTAGACTCTTGAATGTCAAAAATTTGCCCGAGCCAAAAAATTCTTCAGAGATAAATGAAACTTTCTATTCAGGCAAGTTTAAGTGAAAATTCTTTATTATTTTAATAAATAATGATAATAAATTATTTTAAATTATAATAGAATCTTTAGCTGATGATTTTACCGAACTTTTTATGGATTAAAAATCCGTTCTATGAATAATTTAATGTAATTTGTATTTGTATATTAGTTTTTGATAATCTATTATACTTCAACTTAGTGTCATGTAACCATTGGTTTATTAATCTTTAAACTATTTCCACCAATCTTATACTAATTTACTATAAATGCTTACCTTTTTTAAAAAAAAATAAAAAAGAAGACATACGGATTAATTTATTACTTTTTAAAATCTTTGCTACCGTCCTTTAAAGAATTATGTAAATGATAATATATTAATTTTCATGGTCAAACAATCGATTTCTTAAATCTTTTCACGTATGTCAATTATCTGATTTGCTGCGCCACTTTGGTATGTTACATAGTTATATACAAATATTATGTATAATAGGTCATCTTTTCCTGGTAAAGGTGTCTTTAGAGAGGCTCGTATTTCATTATTGCTTTCGATATAATATTTAAGGCAATTTGCATCCCCCATCTGTAGAAGCCTCTTATTGTAAACCGCTTTTCTTCATCAGGGAAGAGTTCGACATTGCATCTAGTTTTTTTAATGTGTATTCATGAGAAAGATAAAGATAAAAAAGTAAAAAAAAAAAAAAAAAAAGAGGCTCTTTATCCGACTCATAGTTTAAACTTTTTTTTCCCGTAGGTTATTTTTTTTATATGGCGCAGTTTCATCACGATTATTCCAACTACCGAATTTTCAACTGATTTTAAAGCTAACCTACCGCAATGTTTTTCTTTTCGTTATCTTTTCCTTTCTTTACTTTCCAAAAAAAAGTTAAAAATGTATTACATGAATCTTCAGGGGATTCCTAAAAATATTATGCTTTGTTTCCTTTTTTAATCAATAATGTGGAAACTATAAATAAATTTGGGCGTTTATAGTTATTGTTGACTTTGTTCATTATACGACAATAACTATTGTTAATACGTCGATCCGGAGAAAATTTTTTACCGAGACAGCAAATGCAAAACAAAATCCAGTAAACCGAAAATCTTTTAGCTGATCTGATGTCCAAAGAATTTGATTTTCGATCATCAAAAATTCATGAAACCATGTAAGACCTTGTGATGTTTCAATACAGATAAGAATTAAAACAAAGGCTCCAAAGATGAAAGGAAAAAAAAAAAAAAAAACAAGGGAGTTGACCTTTTTTGTTTCCAAATTCACGTATATAAAAATGTCTCAATTCCGTAGCATGAAATTTCCAAGAAAAAATTATCAGAGATAAAATTTTTCTTCACTCCATTATTTATTATCCTTTATATATGTTGAGCATATATATTTATTTATTTTTATATTAATTAATCATCTTTCATCATAAAAAAAAATTTTTTTTTCTTAAGATTATAAAAACCTTTCATATAAATTCTTTGATTAATCATGTTATTTAAAAAAAATTTACAAGTTGAATCTGGTTTAATCATGTCTTCAAAGGACGCTTTGCAAGTTAAATGTGAAGATTTTTTTTTCTCAACCGACGACACTTTACAAGAAAATTGCGAAGAATTTATGTCAATCGAAGACACGTTGCAAGTTAATTGCGAAGAATTCATGTCAACTGAATACGCTTCACAAGTTGAATGTGAAGAAATTACGACAAATCAAGATAATTTAAAAGTTAGAACTAATGAACCTGTTATAAAACGTAAAAAATCCGGTTTAAAATACATTCCTGCAGTTGACTTGCACATGCATAGATTTAAATCAGCAAAAGACCTCGTCATAAATACGATCAAGAACTCTTATTCTGCCGATATATCGAGTGTAAGATTCATTACGGGACGAGGAAATCATGTAAATTCAAATGGTGAACGAGGAGTTCTTTTTCAAAATTTTCCAACAATGATATCATCCGGAGGAGTTAGTCGTTTAATCAAAGGTTATATAAAACATGATGGCTCATTTACGGTCCTACTTAAATCACCAAATGAATTAACGTCACATGATATAGATACGATTAAAAAGGCCGCTTTAAATGATGATGTCGAGGCTCAATTCACCTTAGGATTAATGTACATTAATGGAAGTGTTGAGAAAGATGTTCAAGAAGCCTTAAGATGGTTGGAAAAATCAGCAAATAAAGGTGATATCAAGTCCCAATTATTAATCGGACAACTATATTTCGATGGAGCCGAAGTAGATATAAATATAAAAGATGAACAAGCGTTTAAATGGTTTAGCAAAGCGGCTGAACAAGGAGATATTAACGCTCAATTAATAGTTGGATATTTATTATACGAAGGAAGGGGTACCACTATAAATAAAAAGGAAGCTTTGAAATGGTTTGAGAAAGCTACCGAACAGAGTGGTATTAATTTTCATTTAAGCATTGGACGCTTATTATATGAAGGAAAAGGTATCACAAAAAATGATAAAGAAGCTTTTAAATGGTTTATGAAAGCAGCTAAACAAGATGATATTGAGGTTCCATTCATTCTCGGATCAATGTATTTATATGGGGAAGGAGTTGAAAAAGATGTTCAAAAGGCTTTAAGTTGGCTAATAAAATCGGCAGAGAATGGATATATTAAATCTCAGTTACTTCTTGGACGAATATATTCTGATGAGTTTGGAAAGTACATCAAGAAAAAGGTTTCAAAAGATAAGAAAGCTTTTAAATGGTTTAATAAAGCGGCCGAACAAGGAGACGTTTACGCTCAATTAATGGTCGGACATTTATTGTATCAAGGAAAGGGTGTCACTAAAAATTATGAAGAGGCTTTTAAATGGTTTGAAAAATCAGCCGAACAAGGTGACGTTAACGCTCAATTAAGTGTTGGACGTTTATTATGTGAAGGGAAAGGAGTCACTAAAAACGTTGAAGCAGCTTTCAAATGGATTAGTAAAGCGACTGAACAAGATGATATTGAGGCCCAATTCATTCTCGGATCAATGTATTTCCATGGTGAAGGGGTTGAAAAAGATGTTCAAAAGGCTTTAAAATGGTTAATAAAATCAGCAGAAAAGGGATATATTAAATCCCAATTACTTGTTGGACGAATATATTCTGAGAATGAAATTAACTCCAAGCAAAAGGATAGAAAAAAAGCTTTTAAATGGTTTAGTAAAGCGGCCGAACAAGGAGATATTAACGCTCAATTAATGATTGGACATTTAATATATGAAGGAAAGGGTGTTGTTAAAAATGATGAAGAAGCTTTTAAATGGTTTGAAAAGGCGGCTGAACGAGGTGACGTTAACGCCCAATTGTGCGTTGGACGATTATTATATGAAGGAAATGGTGGTATTATGAAAAATGAAAATAAAGCGTTTAAATGGTTTAAACAAGCGGCCGAGCATGATAATGTTGATGCTCAATTAATCGTTGGAAATCTATTATATGAAGGAAAAGTCGTTGCTAAAAATCATACAGAATCCTTTATTTGGTTTGAGAAAGCTGCTAATAATGAAAATGTTGAAGCTCAAATTATTATTAGTAAAATGTATACAAATGGTGAAGGGGTTAAGAAAAGTGATGAAAAAGCGTTTAAATGGATCAAGAAGGCTGCCGACCAAGACAATTTAGATGCACAATTTATTCTTGGACAAATGTATGTTAAAGGTAAAGGAACGAATAGAGATGTCAAAATGGCTCTAGAATTGTTTGAAAGTGCTGCTAAGAGAGGACATCTTGAAGCTGGCATTATTTCTGAGATTTCAAAACTTGTAAAATAAGATTCAAATTATGCCAAATAAAAGTTGTATATTATTTACAGTATGAACACGTAATTAAATTTTATGAAATATTAATGTTACACTGTAACGTTGAAATATCAAACTAATTCTAATAATTACTCGATTACTCTCTACGTTGCTCAAATGAAGGCATAAACTTAATTTATAATGAAATAAATTTTGTTTTGGTTTCTTACAAGACATTGTATCTCAAAAGATATATCGAAACTTTGAACCAACAAAATCGATTTCATACAGAGGGTTTATTTTATAAAATACTTGTTCTCCTTGCACATAAGGATCACTTGGTGTAAACGAGTTTGATGATTTTCCTCTTTTAATATTTATGAAACTATCAATATTAAAAAATAAAATAAGTTCAAAAAAAAAGTAAATAGAGTGCTTTAAGGTTGAGAAAACATTAAATTATTTATTATTTTTACATAGTTAACTGTACATTAATTATCACTAAACTCTCTCTGTAAATAGGTATGATATCTTTGCAAATATATGGCGAATGTACTTCTTTGACCAAGTTTTTTCATAGTAAAAACATGATTCCCATTAGCAGCTATCATCAAATCCAGAATCGGAAGTAAAAATTTTGTCATCCTTAATCCGTCTCTTTCGTTAATTAGCTCATCCATCGGAATTATTAAATCTTTAAAGTCCTTCAGCATAAACGTGCAAGGAAGCATTCGAAATATTGGTTCTAAATTTTGAATATCCTTTGAAGTAGCATCAGATGCTAGGTAGAATATTTTAGAGGATTTCGTGGGATCATTTTGCTTACACTCTGCACCATTTGATAGATTTGAATCCTCATTTAGGTACTCATAGATATCATTGATTAAATATCCTATACTAATTCGGTTGAATTTTTTGTATGATCCGTCTCCAATTCTAGCATGAGCGCTCAGATATTTCAATCGTCCTCCTAATTCATCAGAAATTCTCTTCGTGATACCAAGTAACGTTGGGTTTGATAATATAAATGATTCTCTTATCTCATTCATGAATTGGATATTTCGTGATATTTCAAGCCTAATTAGATTGCTCCCAAATAAAGAATTGAAATAAAGTAAATCTTCATCGCGCTCACGTAACTCCATTATGGAAAATTTGTTTGAAACTGTTTTTGGAGATGCATCGTTACCAAATATTCTATTGTCATAAAACGAATTATTCAACGCATTCCCATAAGTTCTCCAAATTTGTTGTTCATCATTTGATATATTAAAATTTGAAAACAAATTCTTGGAGATTAATTCATCCCTGTGAATTATTTTAACATTCCTTGATATAAAAGTTAAATCAAATAATTGGTCCCATCTATAAAATGTATAAGAATCACGTAAAGTTTCACATTTAGTTATGTTCAATTGACTTTTCACGCTTATGCAATTTTCCTGTTTAGTTGTGCTAACGTAATTCAACATGCTCTCAAGTTTATCGAATGATTTAAAAGGGAAACGCGCACCGAGGATAAGTGGAGGTAATATGAGCGTTCTATTTAATGCCCACGCCAGAAATGCTGCGTTTTCTAGAGCAACTCGTTGGTTATGCAATCCGCTGTGCGGTAAATATGTTATAAATTTTTCTCGTGATGACTCAAAAGCTACCTCTACTTTCATATCACAATTATTATTGAAATTGCATAAAGAAGAGTTTAATTTATTCATGTCTAATACTAATGTGATGAAAATAAATGTCGATAGTAGGAAAAGGATAAAAATTCTTCTTCTGTATTTAGGTAGGGGAAAGTAGGAAGTTCTTTCAAATTTCATTTTTATATCAATAGTGTTATGAGGATAATAGGTCGAACGATTTTTTGACATATTGACAATTGAAGGATTTTTTAAAGAAAGTAATTGTTACGTTGCAATTATATACGAGGGCAATTTTCTCTTAAATGATTTTTAATTATATTTTTAAGTTGATTTTTATAAGAAATTGTTGATAAGAATTGGTGATCTTTGATGATTTCACAAATCCGACGATGATAAAGTACAACATTTGTAATGAATGGAGTGATATGATCGATTGATTGGTTGTTTTCTTTTTACAAAGGATAATTAATATTAAAATTTCTTTTAAATTGAATTTTCTTTTTTAATTTGTGAATAGATAGGAACGGGGCTTCTAAACATTATAAGCCAAAGGTTCCACATTTTTTTTCTACAAATGTTTATCTTATTAGCCCTAAACAGTCATCTAAAGATCTGTTTGTTTTTCGTACACAATGCATGATGTTGTTCCTTTTTTAATTTAAAAATCTTTTGAAACAAAATAATTAAATTACTTGCCTTTTTTATCAAATTGTAACTTGCAAGAAAAAAAGGTAACAAAAAAACAATTTACGTAAGCTCATTTCATAGGGCCTAATTGTTGCGCTTATTAAAAAAAAATATGAAAAGTTTATTTAATATCTTTTTTGAAATTTTTTCATGTTTCACTAATAAGTTAATTCGCGGAATAAGAGAAGCTTTTGTTATTTTATCCACCGTATTTTGATTTTATTCCTATTATTATTTTGACGCAAAATTATGTCGTGTTTAATTTTTAAATTAAAATAATGTAAATTCAATTAAATTAAAAAAAAATAATTGAAAAATAAAAATTTACTTTTTCAAAACAAAGTGAAAATTGCGTATCATACAATTATAAAATTTTCTGTAACTGAAGAAACTTTTTTATTTTACGATTAAACAGTTTTAAAATTATGTTAATTATTCCTAATCTTAATTCTCTAAACTTTATAAACCTAATTTACTAAACATACCTGTGTGGTAATAAAAGGATGTACGTAATATCTGTTTCTACAATACAATAAAACATACATTGAAAAATTTAACAAAATGAACGAATAACTTTGCAGGATATTAGAGATTACTTTTTATTAGAGATTACTTTTAAGCTAATTGCACAGTCAAACGCACTGCCACACGTACCCCCGGTCACAAGGTTGTGACTTAATACTAAATGCACACCCCATCCCTATTCTATAATCTATTAATTATTCATTATTATAAGATTGATCAATTGAACTAACCAAATTTGGATAACAATAATTTTAATCAAATGAAATTATTGATAATCATTAAGGCTAACCAAATGTAATTAATGATATTCCTATTATTTATATTTTCTAATTAATAAAATTATTTATTTATTATTTATATTTATACTCTATACATAATTATACTGTTAGATTAATTGGTAAAGGAGAGAGATTGACAATGTAATATTTTGATAATCATTTTCAGAAAAATTGACTTTTTCGCTTGATTTGTATTTTAGTTATACTAATCTTTTAATCATTTTATATGATTTTGGTTGTTTTGGTTATATATAATATAAACATCAATTTTCAATTTTATAAAGCAACTATGATGCAAACAGTTTTAAGTCATCCAATATTTCAAAATGTAAAGAAATTTTATTTAAATATGTAATCATTAAAAAAAAATACATTATTAAATAGACCTATAATAATATGTATTTTTTTATTTGTTATACTATAGAAATTATTAGTAGTAAGACTTTTTTAACAACAATTTTAATAGTAATAGACAGATTTTTAACAACTTAGATATCATGTGTCAGAATTTCATTGGTAATAATTTAATTATATGATTATAAATGATTGGTTAGAAATTTTAAATTCTTTCAAAAACAGACTACCTTACCTAAAAGTTCAAGCTCATAAACACTCATGTAATATGCAAAATGATATGTAAACTAGTGAATTTTTATTAGATTAAATATAATTGCAATAAAGACATAAATACCATTTTGTCTCTACCCAAAATAACTTAATATAATTAAGCTTGCAGATACAAGTTATATAATAGTCTTATTTAATTGGAACAGAATTAATTTATGCATAAGTATTGCATTTTTTTATCAAATCTGATACCCACAATTCACACTTTCAAAAATTCTATAAATATCTTTTAGTTTTACAATGCTATTAATATCTGCAAATATCATGATATAAGATGAATATCAGGTATTCTATTATAAAAAGTAGTTGCTTTCTGTCATCTTTTATGATCATTCTTAAAACCACTAATATGTCTTCAGCAAATGCATTGTAGTTACTAATATTATTGAATATGAAAAATACTACTTTTTCTAAGTAAATCCATTCAAATATTAGGATAATATAATCTTTTACCTATTTAATAATATTTTTATTTAGTAGATAGATTAAGTAAGCATCACTATAGTTATAATGATGCCTACTTAATCTATCTACTTACATCATAATGATGCCTACTTATAGCTATATTGATACCTACTTACTTATTTTTATGTGTCTATACCCTTTCTGTTGCTTTATTGCTGTCCATCTGTTTTCACTGGTCTGTGGCTGTTTGGTTACTTTATAGATATTTGTTTGTTTTTATTGCTCTGTTCTCTTTTATTGCCTTCTGGCTATTCGCTTATTTTCATTGCTCTGTGGCCATTTTATTAATAAAAAGATATCTGTTTGTTTACCTGTTTTGGGTCTCTTTGACTGCTTGTTAAGATGTCGAGGGTACTTTTCTTTCACACCTATTTTGGCAGCCTTTCAAGGTATCGAAGTGGATTAAAAAAAGATATTGGATAGCGCAATAATTTCATGATTAATTTTGGCTGACATTATGCCATAATTCTAGCCGATCTTTAGAGCATGTGATTTTAGATTTCAGATTAACGCCATATTAGTTACCTGATAGTGTCCTAGAATTGTTATGAAACTGGTAAGGAACTGGGTGAGAGCTAGAGTGATTATATTAGTTTGCCAATTCTGAATTAGTTTATGCCAGCTTGGTTGCTGAAATATTATATCTAATGTAAACTTGAAATTAGGAAATAATGCTGGCTGAATTTAAATGAATTTTTACTATATCTACTGTGCCTACTGCACCAGTTATGTGATACTATTCAGCGCCAGAATACCTTCACATAGTTATGGGCTAGTGACGAGAATGTTTTGGAAATATTCTCAGAATTCAATATATATGCCAATTTCACATCTGAGGTGAAGATGCGATATGTATTATCTTGGCCGACCCATTTGATTATTGAAAGTGCATTATCTTATAATCTAACTAGTACTTATTTATTGCCAGAAATGCGCATTCATATTATATTTTTTCCTTCCAGTGGCATGTTTTTTGGGCATACTGGGATGTAATATAGGACAGATTTTTTGTTATCACTAGTTCTATATACTATAGTTGGCCCATTTAATTGCTAGAAAATTACATCTTAGTTACTTGGACAACTAGAACGGGAACTAGGATGGATTTTGTTATGGGAGAAGAGTTTCTTTCTTTGATTTAACTTGTTCTTTTATATTATGTTCTAGTTGTTCTAGTAAAATAAAAATTCTAGAAAAAAAAAATCATAATCCATCCTATGGTATATCTACCGTAAAATCGTGAAAATAAGCACCCCTTGAAAATAAACACCCCTGTGACTTTTGCTATCATGTCTGTAAAAACTAAAAATAAACACCTTCGAAAATAAGCACCCCCTTAAAAAAATTGTTTATTCGATACAACAACAATTTAATTTTATTAACATATATAAATATAATTAAAAAATATATAATTTTCAATATATTGATATTTATTTAATTTTCAATAATTTCAACTCTTTCATCTAAATTATCTAAGTTTTCTTCTTCCATCTCTTTAAGTAATCTATCAATTTCTTCATAAATCATATCATCTTCTGATCCATCTAACATATTTGAAATAGAACATTTTTTAAAAGAATTAAAGATTATTTGATCTGGAATTGCATCCCATGAATGTTTTACCCATCTACATACATCACTAATTCTTGCTCTTTTTAAGTTACCAGCTAATGTCATACCAGCACCACCTCGACACATCCATTCATGCCATTCTTTTCGCATATTATCTTTAAAAGGTTTATTTATTGAAACATCAAGTGGCTGACATATGCTAGTTAATCCTGCAGGAATAACAGCTAAATGAAAATTATGATTTTTAAATTTAATTTTTACATTTTCTTCCAAATGACCCCGAAATGAATCATATACCATCATAGCAGGATTTTTTGACAGATTCTCAGACATACGAAGTTTAAATAAAAAATCAACATAATTTTTCATTAAATCTGATGTCATCCATCCATTTTCTTGAAACCAACAAACAACATCTTTTGGAATAATTTCACCACGAGGAAGTTGTTTGCCTTTAAAAATACAAATTGGAGGATATTTTGTACCATCTAAAATTATAATTAATATATTTTATTAATTATTATATTTAATTAAATATAAATATAAAAAATAAAAAATTACCAGCCGAACATGTCAAAACTACGGTAAAATGATTTTTATCATTTCCAGTAGTACGAATATGTACTGTTTTATCTCCTTTATTATTGATAGTCATATTGCCTGCCATATCAAACCAGACTGGAGTTTCATCCATGTTAAAAATACTGTTCAAATCAAAATTATATTGTGTTCTTAATCGTATGATAAATCTCCTAAATTCTTCCAATTTTGCATTAGTATCCTCAGGTAATTTTTGTGATATTTTAGTTTTTCTTCTTAGTGATAAATCAAATCTTTTCATAAAAGCAGTAATCCAGGTAAGAGTTCCTTGAAATTCATGTTCTGCTGTTGGATATAATGCTTGAATTGTGGGTTCTT